ATTACCCACAAACTTTCTCTCTTCGACAGGACCTTTAAAACTTTTCAAGTTAACGAAAACATTGTAAAGGTCAAAGAAGGAACAAGTTAATCCATTACGGCCTGAATTGGCAACCCGGTTGGAGTTGTGATCACTCGCTCTACTCAAACTCGTAACCAAGAAATGTAATCAGGTAAATAGTGGTATCGATTCTGACATGATTATCTAAACCTAAACTTTATTTGACAACATTCTATCTTTGTCATTCTCTATACAGAATGAAAAGGTAAGACTGATCTTGAATTTAGTTTTAAGTTTAGAGAATCATGCCAGAATCGACACCATTATTATATTTTACAAAAACTAAATATATTTATATTTTAAGGTAGTAAATCAGACTATTCTTATTTTAAGCCTTAACTTTTTGATTTAGAAAGCGAAAGAAATCTAACTTGAAAAGATCCCAGTCGGTCCAGGTTCCTACCTGCCTGAACATTTGGACCTAGAACGAGTGGTGTTTTTTCGGGAAAATTTTAAATGATCCACAAAAATATGATTAGGTACCACAAAGATAAAAATGTAACCTAAAGTTTAGTTTAGGTTTTTTTCAACTCTATTGCTGTTTTCTAACTCTTTCTGTTTAATTTGTTTCATTTACTTTTTACTTGATGATGTTTGAGGTTTGATGAGACAAAAGAAAGTACCACGGATAAAACCACTTTTGAAAATGGAAAAATAAACCAGTTAGGAAAAACTTTGCGCCGTCGCGCCCATTGTAGAATTTTTTATTTCAAATACCTTAATATCCAACGTTAAAGTACGTACCTTTAAAGACCATTATAATTGATTAGGAATATGAATACCGAATCTAATATTACTTTTCTCTATGACCGAATCTCAATTACTTATCACATAAAAACGCTATCACTGTCAAAAATTCTCCAGTGTGGTATTGGACCTCGGCTCGATCGGCTATATATTTTTTTTTATTATTATTTAATTTACAGGATGGTTGTTCAATTTGTGACAGATGTTGCGGTTTGTCTCTGTCCCTTAATCTTGGTCCCTTTAATAAGCTTCCGAAATTATTTCGTGAACGTCAAAACCAGAAAAAAATACTTATAGTTTTGGTTCTAATTTTAGTTCTTTCTAATGTGTTTATTAAAAATGAGCCTTTAGTATAATAAATGTCGATGTGTTCATTTCGAATTAGGTAGGTAAGTTTTTACTATTACCTTGTGGTTGCGTGGCTAGTCTCTTTTAGGGCGCCACGTCACTACTAGGGTTGCCACCTTTTTTATATCCAAATAAAGTACATTGGATATTAAAAAAGAAAAAAAATACATTGTGTCCAAAATAAAGTACATTTTATTCCACTTTATTAGTAAGCTTAAAAATATATTTTACGTTGCTTCTAACAACTTTTAATAAATAATTTAGCTACAACAAAGTTGTCATGGGTCATGGTACAAAGCCATACAGCCACGACAATGTTGCAAGAATAAGCTAAGGGCGACATATTATACATACTGTCTGTCCGTCAGACCACATTAAATAAAGTATTTTTGCATACTTTATTGTTGACATAAAATATAGAGTACAATTTCCCGAAATAACGTACAATACTTTATAATAAGTACGGGTGGCAACCCTTGTCACCCACACTCCCGGTATGCATTATGGGGACCTCGGTACTGTGAGGATCATAGTGCGTGTCTGGTGACCAATGCAGGAGTATTATCTGGTTTTTACCGGGTAGAGCCCTGCTCGTTTCATCGACCCTTTGGACTGGATGAAATGGGTAAGGAGGAGTCTTCAGAATACCTCTTCGCATTACTCCCGATGGTTCAAGGACAGGGAGAACGCCTTTTCCAGATATAAAAAAAATACTTAAGTTCATATACTACCACGGATTTTGCGATCACAATTTTATTTTCACAATACATGGATGCCAAATGCCTATCTTGCCTGAAAAGTTCGATTCTTTGATATCAACACACTATACCTACACTATGTTACTAAGTACTTTTAATAGATCAAGTAGGTAGGTAATACATCGATTGTTCAAATCGAAATAAACGCCTAAAACATTGCCTAATAGGTGGCCCATTTTATTAGATATTATTAAAACGACAGAAAAACAAACTCGGTTAAAAATTGAATCTTAGTTCAATGCTGACATTCAAACGGACAGGTGATGGTTATTATCTACATATGAAAGAACGGTGTATTTTTTGATTTACCATAAAAAATCTCCAGCATAATTATTAAGCAACAACACAAGTAGATGAAAATCTTGGAACATCTCGGACAACAAGATGTAGTTATTTGATGCAGTTATGTACATAAGAAGGCAATTCAACTGCTCCAAAAACACTCTCACGAAAAACCAGCTTAATAAGGGGCGGTACCCATGCCTACACGGACGGCAAGCAAGGATGAAGCAATTTGTGGCAATCGGGGGACAATCGCGAGTTATCGCTATTACGTCCTTTGTCGGCGTCCGGGCACCGCACCGCCACCGGTCGGCCGGGATACACTGTGCGGTCTATTCCGTATAATTGGGAGGATAATCGTATTGTCACTAGACACTACTATAGGTACCACCTGCGCCGTTAAGCAAACAGTAGATTTTGTATCAAGGCTGCTGTCACGAACGCAGTACATTATGGAGGATATCATGATTAATTTGATATAGTAGTTACAAGTGCATAAAATGCCTGCTTACCTTTTACAGCTTTGATACCTAAAAAACTTTAAAGTTAAAGAAAATTTTACTAGAAAAAATTGAGATCGTTCCAAATTTCAGACGGAATTCGAATTTCTTCCCGGTCTTCCGCTATCGGAGCGAAATTCGACACGGCCATTTTGATCTCGGCAATATAACTGGTCAGTGCGACCGCCCGGATAGCGATCCGGGTTCGAACCCCGTCTGAAACCTGGACCAAGTGGATTTTTTCCAGTATTTTTTTTGATTCAAACATCTAGCATCTCTCAAGGGTTAAGCGAACTTAAGCTTACTCGAAATAACTTTTTACGGTAGCATAAGGCGCTTTGCAGACGACGGGGCGCGGGGCGGGCTTTTTGTCCGCGAAGCAATAAAAACCGCGTCTGCCCGTCAATATCTGCGGCTGCCCTCGCCGCGTACACAAAGCACTAAGGACACGAAAAAAGTATCGATACTTTGTGGTATCGAGTACTTTTCCTTTCGATACCGATACTTTTGTACTCGATACTTTGTATTCGATACTTTTACTAAATGAGTACTTTTTGGCATAGCAAGTATCGATACCTTTAAAAATTTGGATAAGCGCCTCATATTGATGGCAACGCCATCTTGTTAAATCATAGCAAACCTTCTAAAACGTTCCATAGGGTATTTGACAAGTTTTAGGCAACGATCTCACGTTATTGTCTAATGTTTATGGAGTCCGTAAAAAGTGGATATTCATCATTCTGTTGTGTATTTCAGTAAAAATAACCAAATCAAAAACTCCATTTTCAAGTTGCCGCGAAAACGTTTCTCTGGATAATATGGCGTCTTACTAGTGTGTGACGTCACACGACTGTTATTAAAACGTCAAACGATACAATGTAATGTCACTTTGACCGGAAGTTTACTTGCGTGTGACGTCATTTTAGGCTCCGCCAATCCGAAGCGTTTTGGATCACGTGACAATAGATAAGAAAACTAATATCTTTTTCGTTATTTTAGCACTTTATTTTTAATACTGTCAAATGACCTATTGCGTTGTTATAAAGTCAGTAACTGACATATTCAAATTCTTTCCAATCTGTGACTGTGTTTATTTTGCGCTTTGTTTTGTTTCATAGTTATTTATTTAGCGATCATATTGTTAGGAACTGTGATTGATTCGCCGTTTATTGTGCTTTTCGCTTGACTGTATTTGTTTATTCAAGTGTAACACTATTATTCTGTCTGCGCTGTGTATACTTATTTGAAGCCACCTGAAAAAAAGAATATTAATGAACACTTTTTTAGTGTCAGAAATCACAGCTATTTTCTTTTCATTATATAATATAGCAATTTGTGAATTTACATGTCCTTGTTTTGTTTTTGATTATACGTACTATAATAAAATTCGATTGTTTTTCTTTCAATTTTAACACCGGGGGGGGGGGGGGGGGTATACTTTGAAGTATCGATACTTTTGTTTCGATACTTTTACGAGTACGATACTTTTTTACCGATACTACTCATGAGTACAGTATCGATACTTTCTATTCGATATCGTGTCCCTACAAAGCACACGACGGGCAGAGGCAGTCAGTTCAGGACGTTCGTTCTAGTGAATAGTCCATCACTACTAAAAAGCGCGTGGCGCGGACTGAGCTAGCCGCGCCGCCGTCTGCGTTACTGCATATAAACTGGTTTGTATGATCCACGGCGGGCAGCCGCGGACATGCCGCGCCGCCAGTGCCCGCCGCGCCGGGCACCTGCGGCGCTGGCTTTTTGCCCTCTGTGTGCGTTTGTAGTATAGGATTCACTTTGTGCTATCGTTTGCGGCGAAATTGACCGGCCCGCTCCGCCCCGCCGTCTGCAAAGCGCCTAAAAATACAGCCAAGTGCGAGTCGGGCTTCCCGCTCGACGAGATCTGTACATTTACGATATTATTATTTTTTAAAGCGAAAAACACTTTTGATGTATACTTGTTTTGAATTGAAAATAATTTATTGTTATAGCGTAAATAAAGATATTAAATCTGTGCTAATTGCAACTTATTTGAAAAACCGTCAAACAGGCCGACGGAGAGCGATTTTTTTAAACCTTTGGGTACGAAAACCCTAACAGAAGAGTCAATTAAAAAAAACTAGAGCAAGTGCGTGTGGAACCACTTGCTTGGTGCTTCTTAAATTGTGACTAAATCGAATGCAGTGCATGTGCCCTTTTAAGACGCAAATTCCGATTCTGAGCTTTTTGATTTAATCTAACCATATATTTGACATTAAGCTCAAATTCAATTGAGAGATAAATCAGAGTAAAAATAAAACACAACAAATAAGTTACACAATTTAATACCACCACAGGTTTAGTACAAATTCTTAATTGGTCTGTTTCGCGTCTTTTGCGTTCTGCAAAGCTTGCGTCAAATACAGCTTCGCGAGACTCTGCGAACAAAACTGACTGATGTGCTGGCTGTAAGTGTTGATCTGTCCAGCGAGGATCATGGGGTTCAGCCTTGGTGGAACCGGTAAGGGCTTGAATAGCTTGTTCACATCTTCTTCGGGTAGTGGAGGCTCGTCTTTAACGGCCCTGGCTGCGTTTTCTTGAGCCCTCTTCACTAACCACCGATGCTTGTCTTGCTGTTGACGGACAACTAACTGTTGGTATCTGTTAAACTTGATGGCTTCTTGGTTGAGGTCATCAACTCGCTCCATTAGGCTCCTGAGTTGGCCTAAAAGGAAACAATTAGTTAATACTATTTTCAGAACAGAACTATGCTTTAATAATGTTTCATGCCAGAAATAGAAATACCTCAAGCTATGATAGTGAAAACATATACAGAAACTACAAAACTATTTATTAGTGTTGCACTGAAAGTGGGTCCTGCCAAATACCAAATATTGGACGAAGTTCGGCCGAAATCCGGTTAAATTTGGCGTAATTCGTTAAACAAACACAATGCCTAAATTTTTTTCATATAAAAAAAATTGCTTAAGTATTACAAGTCAAAGTATCATAAACTTAAATAAATTACAAAGAAGAAAGAATTTATGTTAATTTATTTAATTATATATTTATTATGTTACCTTGTTGATTACTACAATTGATATATTTTTAAAGCATATTTCGATAGTTGTTGTTTTTCTTGTATAGGATAATTAAAACAAGCACCAATGATAATCCACGTTATAGCTATTTGCTTACAAATTGACATTTGCTTTTCCATTTCTTTTTAAATTAATATAAGCTTCGGCGACATTCCGGAGATCTAACCAAAATTCGGTCAAAGACGAAGTTCAGTAAAAGCTGCCTAACTTCGGTAATACCGAATGTCAAACGAATCTCGGTGCATCTCTAATAAATATTCACTAGTTGCGAGGGGCTTCTGATATTGACGCCTTACTGAAACTGTTTCAAACATAATACAAAATGAAAGAATAACATACCTTCAAGTACCGATGCCGTACCAAGGTCCAAAAATTTGGAACCCTGTTCCTCTGGAATCATTTCTTGAAGTTCAGACATCATAATGTTGGTGAGTGGAGAGTTTCGAATCACAATTGGCACCTCAATGAACAGGCTCTCGTAGCCAATCTTGAGATTTCGAAGCGCCTCTGGAGTATAATCTCCTTCTTTATACATTGCAATAGCCTGTAAGAAAAATTTATATGACGCACTCATACAAATAATAACGTCCATCACAAATTCATGGTACTCAAACTTTTATGCATTGAAATTAACAGTTTTCATAAAATTCTCTTACTTTAAAATTTAATTAAATAGAAATGAAAGATATACTACATATATAATATAGAAAATTTTAACATTACACCATGCCATAACCCTTTGTCATTACATGGAAGCAAGGCAACCTTAGACACGGGGACAGTAAACGCATGTAAATTTATACTAATAAGCACTTTATCCAGTAAGAGAAAATTATTCCATTATGTAAAATCTGAGTAAATTTAACTATAATTCGACCTAGCTTCTAAATTCAAGAAAAATCATTGGCAAACAGTTAGAAATTACAATATAAGGACAACCCAAAATGAGTATGGATTTTGTTTCAACCCCCCTTGCGTCTGTTGAGGTAGGTCTGGCGCGCAAGTACTTATATTGCTTTAAAACACAATTTTGTTTTTCTCACAAATAAGTCATTTTTTATGACATGCTTTAAACAAATAAAAATAATTTCTGGCATAATTCTCTAAACTTAAAATTAAATTTGAGAACAGTGTAACCTTGTCATTCTCTAAACAGAATCAAAAGGAGATATTGATGTAAATTTAGTTTAAAGTTTAGAATCATACCAGAATCAACAAAATTATTAAGATAAACTTCATTATAATGATAGTTGCACGAAAATTAAAGAGTTCAGTGCTTTCTATGCTGTGATGTTTTACAATTATAGATACTCCATACACGCTTCGAATTTGGCAATACGAAAGTCATGTAATTGCCTGACTTGCATTCAGTCGGGCACATGCAAGATCTGCTTTATGGATGAGAGTGAAAGAGACTACTTTAGTGCACTCTATTGGCACATGTTGCCAAGGGAAATTGGGGCAGGGACTACTTTTGCTAGTTTAAAATGCCATAATGTTGGCCTATATCCTTTCTATATACCTATTATACATCATTGATTCTATGTTAAATTTTAATTTAATCACTTTTATAACATAGACTTCTGCAATTATTGTAATAAGAACAATAGATAAGAGTAAGTATAAGATTCTCATCTTTTATTTTTATAATTTTCTATTGATCTTTTTTCATATTTTGTTTGTAACTTTGTTATAAAGTATTTTTCATGGTAGTATTAGATATTTATGATGATTTCAACAAGTCTAACATATATTACAAACCTGAGGAGTTAACCGATAGGCTTTAAGAGTAAGGAATCCTCTTGCAGACTTCTTTGTGTCATAAATTACAACAACACTTTCTTCAATGGAGGTCTGATAGTGGTATTGTGACTCAAGAAGAGATTGACTCAAAAAATTGCCAACATCAGCACTCTGATACCTGAAATAAATAAAACAGATACTCTAAGTAAGATTCATTATATAAAATTCTGCCTAGTTGATTATAATTTCTACATAAACACATTAAAATTTATAGCATAATTATTATGCACACTCAATAAAGATCACAAGTTCAAAACTTAAAAAAGCTTGTATAAAACAGTGATATAACCTATTAATGGATATTGGTGATTCCTTCAGCTGTATAAAATATCTCTACAGTATTTGTATAAGCAGCTTTTGTATCTCCATATTGGTCTCAAATTATAGTTAATAACTCCAAAAGCGGTCTATAATGGCCATATAAATGTTTTAATGTAACAGCTATTTAAGAGTGAAGGAATATACTTCCATACTTTTAAGAAGCTATTATAGCGTGACCCAGGACTGAAATGCCAGTCCTGAGTATTCACAAAAAGGTAAAATGCAAAATCACTACCACACAGTGCAATGCAGCAGTGTATCCTAAAAATCAGGAAGGTCCAAATAATAAAGAATACCACCATAAGAGCAAAAACCAAACTGACTGATGCTCTCACAGATGCTCTAAAACTAAAGTGGCACTGACAACATTTACACATGTTGTAGAATGTTATAACAATGTGTTATACCACTTAAAAAGAATACAAGAGCCATCAAATATCTGTTATAGCGACAGCTCAGCTGAATAAGACCTTTGTAATAAGCTTGTGTGCTAATCAAATCAACAAAGACTATGACAAGTGCTAATATAAATAATATAGGGTATATATATTTCAGTTGCATTTTTTTTATATTTACTCACCATCCTACATGGAAATGATCAACATTGACTCTGCGCAGTCTTCGCATCATGTCTAATTGATACTCTTCTTCATCCATAGTGTCATCGTGCTTTGGAAATGGGAAGCAGTTGGTTATCTCTAGCCTGTTTTCAACTACCAATCCCAAGAGGGCACCTTGAGCTACCTCCATGTTGCTACATGACTCTTCATGGCAATGTTTCACAATTTTCATCACAGCCTAAAATTTAAACAAGCATAGAAATTAAGTATATTATTTATGAAAATAAATATATCAAACATCAAAAACTCAACTTGCTACATACAAATTAATTGATGCAGTTTTTTCAAACTTTTATTAAAAATGTTATTTTATAAAAAAAAACAGATAAACCATGGTTATGACTGAACTGACTAAGACTGGCACACAACGTTTAAAAAACGGACAATTAAAACACTTTTTTTCAAGATTCAATCAATAAAAATAGGGGGCAATTATATTTTGGAAATTGTAATGTAAAGAAGTCATCAAACATAACCTAACTAAATCGATATAGAATGTTAACCAAAATTAAGGTGACAATAATCACAAAGAATGTACATAATGAGTAATTCTTTACTTATATCTTGAAAAACTACAGGTATTATAATATATTTTCAGGCAGAAAGTGTTTCCATGACGTGTCGACGAGTGCATTGTTCTAGCCAGAGTAATACTTTAGTTAGAAAAGTGTTTTGGTAAGTAATCTTAGTTTAAAGTAATAATCAAATACTTACCAAACCATCACATTGCACATAAGTAATCGCTGCTTCATTTTCTGGAATTCTTCTGGCAGAACCACCGCGATTCGCCATTTTTACCGAAAAACGTAAATGGAAAGAAAAAAAACCAAACCCAAAGCAAGTGAACGACACTTAACGACAGATGCGATAATTTGACAGTTGACATTATTTTTAGTAAATTCTTGTCCGATTTCATAAAGGCAAAGAAGCTAAAATCACATGTTTTTATTGTTTTACTAATCTTTTGGATGTGACCCATAATACTTCTGCTTCTTTAAGTGTTTGGGGCAAAATTTTATGTAGGTATCGACTCAGCTTTTAGAGGCTTCTTTCTGTGGGGTATTTGTATTTATAGCTATTAACGGGATTGTTACCATGTACCTTGTTTTTTATGAGATCATGGCGCTTGCAACAGTGCCGAAATATCGGAGACTCATAAAAAACAAGATACATGGTAATAATCCATAATGTTAGTGACCATGAAAGTTTAAAACAATATATTTGTATTTAGCGCTACAATAAGGTTCGCACTTCCACTTGATGTCTAGGCTGTAAGGACGAAGTATTCTTTACTTTTAATATTCAGGAGAAATTCAGAAAAATATCAGTGTCAAAGTCATTCCTTCAGCTCAGCACAGCACAGAGAGGCCCCATTGTTTTCGATCCAAAATACTTTAAATAAATTTTATTTGTTTATGATATCTAAAATGTGTAGAAATGTGTATTCAAATTATGTTTCACAAATATAGTGCTAGCTGTGCATTTCTTTCAAATGTTTTATATTATATGCAGCTGCGTTTCAAATAAAGATTAATTTTTACTCTTACATTCCGATTGATTATAAGAAAAGTGTTTATCAAATAATGAGTCAACATAAATTTTGGAGAGGAATAGAAGCATTGAACACCTGTTCAACACAACAAGTACCTGAAAAGATTGTGAAGCTTTGTTCATTAGGCACATCATTTATTGTGTTAGGAAATGATCATGGTCTGTACAGTTGTGACATTGAAGATCTTCTAGTTTTTAGAAAAATAAGTGGTATTTCTGCAATAGACATATCATATCATGAAAATATCCTATATATCATTGATGTACATGGTCGTCTTTACAAAACCAATCCTAATTTTAAAAACAAAGAAGAAATTGTTGTTAAAGAAGATGCCAAGTGTTGCCCTCACGGCTTCAGAAGCTCAAGTTGTAAAGTAAGATTTAGAAATGTTGTATCTAGTGACTTTGGCCAATTGTTTATAAGCAGTGATGGTCAGCTATGGGGCTGTGGTATAATGCCCCAAATTGGCTTAGAAAGTAGTGCTATAAAAAAAGTTTTGTTCTTTGAGGGTAGAACAGTGTACAGTGCTTCAGTTGGTCAAAATTTTGCTGCAGTAATAGCAAGGAAGAATGTGAAACGCTCAGGTAACTGTGACACAGACAGTGACAATGAAGATGAAGAAGTATTTGCTTCCAATTGCTCTCAATGCCAAACCATAATAGGCCTAGCTTCTCCTGCTTCTGTGCCATCCCTTTCTGAAACCTGTCCACTTGGAGTACAAATCAGTAAATCTAGTGAAGACTCAAGTAGTACTACTGCACCTCAAACTGATGTACACATTGATGCCCATAGCCTTACAGAAGATTCTAGTCCTTCATCAGAAGAATCAAAAATAGCTAGAAATAATGCTTCTCAAAAAATTAATAACCCAGACCAAGACAAAACTTCAGATACAAAATCATGTGAGGATAATGCTGATAACACAGAAAAAGATAATGATTTAACAAATGTAAATTCAGAAAAGATTAATAACATTTTTTACAACACAGATGCTGCTAGGCAATTTTTAAGCAGACAGTTGTCCTGGGTGTCTGCTGGCGAGGATTATTTAGTAGAGTATACAGAAAAACCTACTAGGATAATAAAAGAAAATGTATCTAATCTAACAAATTTTGTATATGAAGGAGTAAAGACAGTTGGGGATAAGGTGGCAACTTTATCACGGCATGTGAGTGGTAGTAGTGATAATAATGAAATTGTAGAGCTTCAAATGAGAAACCACCTTGAAGAATTCAACTCACTGACAATGTATAGTTGCACATCTAATTGTAATTTAGAAGATTTACAATTTTCCACAAGTACCATCAGTAGTGAGAAAGAGTTTGAAGCTGCTAGAAAGAAGGAAAACCTCAAAAACATGTCTAAACTTGGAAAAAACATATTGGCAACTGAATTATGGACTTGGGGAGACATATCATATGGACAATTAGGTATTGGTGATACTGTCAAAAGGCTGAAACCTATGGTAGTTATGAGTTTATCAGGCTATGGTTTACAGAAAGTCTCATGTGGTAAATGGCACTGTTCAGCTCTTACTTTAGATGGCAGACTGTTCTTATGGGGATATAACCATTTTCACCAAGTAAGCTTTGAGTCGAGGGCAGACAAGAGTGGGCCTAAACAATTTACTGAAAATTCTGACAGTGACAGAGTGAGAGATATGATAGCAACTGATCACCATACTCTAGCATACACCCATAATGAAAACATTTTCTATATGGGAAAACATACAGAAGGATACACAGAAGCCATTGTGAATTTGAACAAAAAAGATGAGAATTGTGAGGCTATTGAAAATGGGAAAGATGAAGATGTTGACACTGAAAATGAACATAAAAATTATACAAATAAATCACAACAAAATATGTGCTACCATTGGAGAATATTATCTTCAGGCAATATTAGCTATTGTTCTCTCGAAGAGACTTTAACATGCCCAGAGTTTCAGGATCTTTCAATTGCTCAAAGATATCTTGAAGAGATGCTGTTAATATATCATTCTCTTATCAAACCTTTTCTGAAGAAAAGTAAGATAATCACCACACATTCCATTATATATGAAACTGTTTGTGATATTTTTAGTGACATTTTAAACACAACTGCCCTAAATGTGCTCTCAATATGGCAGTATGCTGAAAAGCATATAAATGAATGTGATATATCCTTAATTAAAAATTTAGAAGAGTATATTTATTTGTACAGAAAGTATTATGTAGCTATAAGCAATTTGATTGTTATTGGTGGTTTTTCTCAAATCAACAACATTGTTGAGGTTCCAACAAGTGTCTTCAACTTGTTTAGTGATCAGCTCCCTACAAATAAACAGAAAAATAACAAAAAAACTTCAGAAGCCATAGTAGCTCTAGCTTTTGTGCAACCATTAACAAGATTAAGCTCTTACAAGTATATAGCTCAGTCTTTATTAAGGTGTAAATCGAAAAGAAAAAATATTGATGCCAAAGCTTACATTGATGACAGATTAAACAAGGTCATTTCATCCTTGGATTCATTAATAGAGGAACAAGAGAAGAAGCGAAAAGAAGCAGATCTTACAAAGCTTTTTTGGGACACAATAGGAAAAAACTTGGAGCAATACAGAACTCCTGAAAGGCGACTAGTTCGTGAGTCAAAACATCGCCCTCTCAATCTAGTCACACCTGGCAGATTCTCATCCCATTGGTTCATTTTATTCAATGATTTATTTCTACATATTGTTGGTAGCACTCCTAATGCGCATCCTCTGGATACATTGTGGGTAGAGCCTGTTGCTAACACTGATTCCACACAAAGTACTATTCAGCTCATAGCACCAGAAGAAACTTTATCTGTAACTACAAATAGTGAGCAAGAAAAAACCGAATGGATACACTCTCTGAACACTTCAATCAGATCTGTACTAAATAAAGACTCTGTGTTCAAACCACCAGCAGCTAGAACAGCAAATTACACATTTTCGAATAAAAACACCTTTTTTAAAGAAGCTAAATACAATGGCAGGTGGTTGGATGGTAAAATGCATGGACATGGCAAAATAGAATGGCCAGATGGTAAATTGTATGTTGGACAATTTCAATCAAATACTCTTTGTGGTCATGGCAAGATGGAAATTCCAGCAATAGGTATGTATTTCTAATTCTTTGCTTTAGTTGCATAGTATTAAGTTCAAAAAACTAATAATATAATGTTCTCTGTACAAAGTGAATTAAGTAACTGCTTATAAAAATTTGTTGTTTATAAAATTAATTAACTGTGAATTCTGATGCCATACGCTTTAACTTGCGCGGGTGCATGGAGCAAAGCCCGCGCTGTACGTATAACACGCTAATCTGGGCTCTGCCGTGTGCTCCAGTCTTTTAGCTATCTGTGCCGGATAGCGACCACCGGTACTTGGTTTTCGTATCGTCTATGCTTAGCTACGGAGTTTTGAGATTGAGATTTTGGAAATTTAAATAAAAGGTGTGATATCTTTGAAAGTCTAATAGCGTATATTTTTAAATTCGAAAAAATGCTGTTACATAATTCGAGGAAGAGGGGTTGGAAACAATATTTTGCGACCAATGGCAGCGTCGATTTTTATATCGCGTCATGCAGCACCATACGGATTGGTGACCGAGCCGAACCTGAACTTGGTGCGTTCCGTCTCGCACAGAAATGCCAAACACTATCTGTGCCGCCACTCACGGCGGCTCAATTTTTATTTCAAACGTGTACAGTTGTCAAGTAGATTGCCGTATATTTAATTCAAAAAAAGGTTACAAACAAATACGACATAAAATATTTTTGTGACCTGCAACTAGGCTATTGACTGGAGAAGACGTTTGTGATTCCTGGTCTCGTGATACACGGTTGCGCTCAACGGATTTCAAGAAAAAAATCCGCAGCGGGCCGGGCAATGCTGCTCATTTTATTTTTAAAATAACCATGTACCAAAATTGTCTAAAATGTAAAAAAAATAAATGTTTTGGCCCTTTAACTTGTATAACTACTAATATTTAGACCCAGACATCGTCAAGGGGGCTGCAATACGAGAGAGCACCAAACAAGAAAGTTTTATCAATACATATCATACATAAAACATAATTATCAATTTCTATAAATTTCCAATTTTTTGATACAAACACGCGTGTTGCCTGCGCGAATTTTAGCATACGCCCTTAGAGTTGCGCCAAATACGGGATTTTGAAATTACGAAAGGCTATTTTCGACTTTATACGCGTAATATGGTCATCCTTTTCATACTTTCATCCCCTGTTTCACACTTCCTTTTAACTTTATTTTTGCGACAAAAAGAATTACATGTCCTTTTCCAAGGTCTTTTTATCTACATGTCAAAAGTATTTGATTCTGCGGTTTGGGTGTAAAAATTTAACAGAAAATCAATGCAGTCAATTTGTGTTTTCACCAAAAAAAGTAGACTTTTTTGAGATTGTTATTTAGGTGACCCGTCTGGTTAGCGGCCGCAATATATTGACGCTTGCGATACCAGACGGAGTACCACGCGCGCATCGCCTACCCTGACCCTTAACCTGTGAAGCCTTGCAGCCTTACTTACACAAAGAAAGACAATGCCACAAAAATGTATCGTTATTGTCACCGTGATCGTCTATAAGGTAGAGGTTACCTCCCCAGACAGGCGCATATTGTAAATATTTTCTGATTGTATTTTCTAATTTATTTCATAATAATACATTATAACTGAAGGTTAACATTTGCCCTTGACATGTTTTTGTAAAATTTCACATCATTTAACACACATTAGCAACAAAAACCGAACCTGAATTACATATTTGTTTTGACATGACAATTATGAACACTTCACAACGAGTATCACACTTAATTTATAGAGAATAAAGGCGCCTCATTTTCAAATATGACGAGTTTTATATCGAGGAAAAAATCGTCGCTCCCATGTCGATATGATCGACATAATATGCTTTATTGCTAAATCTAAAGGTTTCATTTTCCTAGGCACATACGACGGTCAATGGAAGGACAATCTTCAAAACGGCTATGGAATAATGAAATACATCTCAGGAGACGTGTACGAAGGTTATTTCCAAGACGGGCAACCCCACGGTCATGGCATCAGGAAGCAAGGGGACTTCACCTCATCCTCAGCCACTATTTACACGGGAGAATGGTCTAATGGCGTCAAACACGGCTATGGTGTCATGGATGACATAGGCAAAGGCGAGAAGTATTTAGGCAACTGGAGCGACAACAAAAAACACGGCTGCGGTCTCATTGTGACGTTGGACGGCATTTACTATGAAGGATTATTCATGCAGGATGTGCTTACGGTGAGAGATTTTCGAGTGCCTAAACATTGTATGTAATGATAAGGGTTTTAGCTGGATTGAGAAATACTGTGTATCAAAAAGATAACGGGACATTCAAACACATAGATTATGCTGAAATAAATTCACTATACAAGGAAGTTAATAGTATTAAAACTGTATACAGTTTTAAATTAAATTTATTATTTATTAAGATTCCAATAATGCTATGACCATAGCAATACGGCCAATGTGGCCAGGAGGCATACACAGCTTACCCCTCTGTCGCATTGGACATACAAACGATACATGTGTGCATGATTTGGTGGTGTGTTGTGTTAAAGTTTATGTGTGTGTCGTAATTACAGCTGTTTTGTACGCTAAAATGCGTTTGTGTGCATATCCCTCCCGCCAAAAATGGCTTAATGATTTGAATAGTAGTATTATGTCGCTAAGGCTACTTCCTTCCTTGTTGCCCTATGGCTATGACAGATGATATACTTTCCTCGATGCCGTTTGTATTTCGTCATTACTATTGTAAGAAAACAGTGTAACGAATTACGCAATTATCACAGAAACTTCTGAATTGATTTATCTGCGGTTTTCCCTATATGTTAGATAACTTTTAAAATAACGTTTATATATGTATAATACATGCCCGTAAATTCTAGGATATATTACCATCAAGTAATGTGGTTTTGGTAATGTGGTTAAAGTTTTAGTGCCACAAATATTGTGTATAGCGGCCGCCCGCGACTATGTCCGCGTTAACTTTTAGTTTTTTTTTTCTAATTTAAAATGTTATTTTCTAAAATAAAAGTAGCCTAACTTACTCCTTATTATATCAGCTGCCTTCCAATAAAAGTCCCGTCAAAATCGGTCCAGGCATTTCAGAGATTAGCCGGAACAAACAGACAGACAAAAATTGTAAAAAATGTTATTTTGGTGTATACATGTACCGTATATTCATATGCATGTACTAAAAAGCGGGTATTTCAATATCACAAACAGAAACTCCAAGTTTATTTATATGTATAGATACATCAGAGGCCTAAACATGAATATTGACAGCTTCGTAATCGTATCGCATCGTCGAAAGTTTCTATGAAAACTGAGCAGCGCCCCTACCAAATTGGTGTCGCTTTTAGCCTGATACTCTAAAGCTAAATTTAAATTTGACTACAGTGTATCCCTGTCATTCTTTATACAGAATGAAAAGGACAGACTATTCTTAAATTTAGTTTTAACTTAAGAGAATCCTGCCCGAATCAACGCCACTGGCTCCATCCATACAAAATTTGACGATGACAATATCATTACGGATCTGTCAAAATTCATGCTTGGGCCTCTGTATGAATGGTAGATATCTGTGTTTTCTATACCAAAGTGCTGATATAAGCTAATTAGTTCTGTCACAGCTGTTTTCAAGTCGAATATTTCATTTTTATGTACATAATTCTTGTAGGGTCATGGTGTAATGGTGTTCGAAGATGGCACCCACTACGAAGGGGAGTTCCGTGCTGCTGGCGTATTCTCCGGCAAAGGCATTCTTACATTCTCCAGCGGAGACAAAATAGAAGGCTCTCTTAACGGCGCGTGGACGGAAGGCGTCAAAATATCCAATGCCACGATGCATTTGAATGTATCTAACCCAGTGCTGCCGTCCAATTCTAAACCTAAGTACGTTAATAATACAGGTCACGTAACAATATCTAATTGAAAAAAACGGGCCGATTGCGAGGGTTCCGTACAAACTCAATTTAATACCTCTACGCGTTAATGAGAAAAGAGGTAGTAACTTTAAAATTTTCAAAAATATTTTTTATTATATGATGTAAATAATAATTAACGGTTTTCGCAATTTTTCCTTTATCTGTACTATAAGAAGTTACTTCGTACCAAATTTCAAGATTCTAAGTTCGTGGGAAGTCGTAGGTTTTTTTATTTCCGTGCGAGTTTCGAAAATTTGCGGCATAAACGGCTGTATCTTTTGATGGCTTTGACTTAGAAGATTGATTTTTTCACAGCTCCAAGGGACAGTAGATATGAGTATTACATATTAATTTCAGTTAGATACCTCCACGCGTTCATGAGAAAAACGGTCTTAACAGACGGACGGACGGAAAACAAAGTGATTCCATAAGGGTTCCGTTGTTTTCCTTTTGAGGTACGGAACCCTAAAAATGACAAATATGTCTAATGCCTGATTTCTTTGCAGCTCTTTTGGGACACTCAGCGTGGCACCGCATCAAAAATGGAATGCCCTTTTTCGGCAATGCTTTCAATGCTTAGGTGTATCAGAAACGGTACTCACTCCGACTGCCAGCCATTTTGCTAATGGTCCTTCGGGGCCTACCATAGACAACTCTAAGATTTGGCAGAATGTCGCTGTTTCCATATCGTGTTCCCATAAAGAGAAACATAACAACTCCCTGAAGCGAAGGAAAAGCAACGATCTAGAGAAATCGGTGGATTGCTTAGAAGTTATACCGAAGTTTGGGCAAACGACGCTTTCGTTGAGTGACTATATAGAACTGAAACAGTATCTGCAAAATGTATGTAAAAGCACGTTATATCAATATTACGCATAAATAAAATCTAGTTTTCAATGGGCAATTGATAAAGTTGGCGCCATTTATCGCTTGGCAAGTTAACAAAAAGAATATCATATTAATTTCTTGGCCCTCATTCAATGATGACACATTTAGTTTTGATTGGTCGAGAAGTAAAAATTAAATCGATGTAATATATAGAACAAACAGCCTATGTATATTAAATTATAAGACAAAAACCTGTCACAAGTTACTTAATATTAATTCCCGACCTTCTTTATAAATCGTAATCATATAAAAAGAATTTTGTTCACATCTTTCTTACAGGCTTGTGATTCCAATCATCACCCTGTAGGGCAACTAGTAATAGGATTAACAAACGCCTTTAACACAACCTACGGGGGCGTCAGAGTTCACCCTTTACTGTTAAGTCACGCAGTCAAAGAACTGAAAAGCATCACCTCCAGGTTGTACCAGGTCGTCAGATTGTTGTTCCCCGCCTTGCCGCAAGAGGGCACTGAACTAGTCATTCCGTATAGGACAACAGAAGGCGAAGATCACGAAGACCAGAACAATCCTATTGATGGGTAAGTAACAACTTTTTCTTCTATAACTTCACCCCATAGAAACTCTTTTCACTACCCTATGTAAGTGGCATTATTTTGACCTCGCACGTTTTCCCTCCTTACTACTATCTGAGGTCCTTTAAGAGAGGCGTGAAGCATTTTTGCAGGCCGGCAAAGTGAGGATGGTTGATGTGGCAGCTGCTGTACCAGCTATCTTCGCGTTTGGTCTTTATCACCACTTAACATCAAGTGTGGTAGAATTATTTGCCTACCTGGCTATATAAAAAAAAACGCTGGAGATGACTAAAATATTCACTATAGAATTCCGTAATTTGTCTACTTTTCGGTTTACTTTTTGTAAAACCTAAACATTGTCATGACAACCTCCGTAGCCGAGTGGTTTGTACGCCGGGTTTCAAGGTGTCGCCTACTTGAGAGGTCCTGGTTCGAATCGCAGTGGGGGCTAATGTTTGTGTGATGACTACGAGCATTGGTACTCCAGTAATGGATGTTTAATATGTATTTCTATTTAAATAAACTTATATATGTATCGTATATAAGTTTATTTAAATAATAATATGTATTCTATCCTTTACACCAGTATCCCATAACACAAGCTGCAGTGCTTACTTTGGGGCTAGGCTAATTGGTATGAGTGTTGGAAATATTTATTTATTGTTGCCGAACCTTCTTTTTTTGTGCCTTGTAATGTTACTCTGATAAATTGTGTTTCGCTTGGCAGAAAATTTGTTCTGCGTCTTGCACTCCTCTCTACGCTCGGTACACTCAGGACTCTCTTTTAGAACATTCTATATTCCAATCCAGCTTCCCTATCATGTCATGAGCAAACCGATACGATAAATATCCGGTTTTTTTATCACACTCAATTATCATTATTGAGGAGCTGGCGAACAAAACGGTATAATTACATAAAATTAACTTTTACAGGAGCTGTATAAACCTGAATGACATACCAGTGAGCTTTTGGCATGGTTTATAATTTATAAATTTAGAAAATTTAACACTGTTTTAGTCGGTTTCGATTTAAAATTATTTCAGATTCAAATGCAACGGGCCTGAAACCTGCGCACTGTAAAAAAAAAGTAGTTTGACCAGATGCGTAATTATACCGTTTTGTTCGCCAGCTCCTCAATTATTGTAAGACGTTGACAGTAAGACGTGAAGGCGCTGGAATCATATGCTATCTAAGTTTTTTATACAAGTACACGCACCAAGAAGCAGCTTTGTAAACTTACCTCATATTGAAGTCATTTTTCAATTTGACGACTCTGTATATAATACAGGGAGAAAAAAACAGGCCTTGCTGAGTTTCTTGCCGGTTCTTCTCAGCACAAGGTCTCCCGCCGTAGATTTACGAACGTATGGCGTAACTTTTCGACATTCACAAGTGCTTGTAACAGCCTAGACTGAATAAACGATATTGAATTTTACCTAACGAATTACAATTGTTTGCTTACCAGCGAGGTGGTATCATGTTCGTCGCTACTTCAAGCAGCCTTATTACCTCGAGTACATCCAGCTCTATTCGTTTTATACGCGCTTCACAACAAACGTGAAGATGACTTATACTGGCGACGCCTGCTCAAGTGGAACAAGCAGCCCGACCTCACGCTAATGGCCTTCCTCGGCATCGACCAGTAAGTGGTTTAATTTTTTGGTTTTTTATGCATTTAACTGCTAGATGTATAAATCTACAGAAAATTTTACTAGAAAAAAAATCACTTGAACTCTAACCGTGGATTTTTTGTAGTAACATTTTCTTTTGATTTTAAATAAAAGTTGATCATACTCAACAAATAGACTTACTCAGCAAAATTGCCTTCAGGAAATTCTGCGTAGCCCAAAAAAGCGGCAACCACCCTTCGTCGCCGCCCCTCGGCCCCCTGAAGGAACAGCTGTTCCAAGAGGCGGTAGAAACGCTGCAGCAGCTCAAGACCACGTTCTCCCCTATAGAGAAGCTACTGGTCATCCGCAGCACCTTCCAGAAGATGACCACGGCCGTGCAGCAAGAGTTAGGTAGAGTATACTCATGACTTTGATCACGACCATAGAGAAACTGAAAGATAACCGTAAGTTATCTTTTACAAACTTCCCCAAAATGGCCGCTTCGACTCAAACATAAAATCAGCTGATCCGTTCTCATACAAAGATGCAATAACATGTATAGGTTTCCTATAAAAAATGATATTCTCCCATTTAGCTCCTGCGAGTATTTCCACATAGTTAAATCTATATACATATAATAAAATGGTAGGAAAGTCAAAACTATACATTGATTTTTTTTAAAGAATACTAGGGGTGTGATCTACAATCGATACCGAAGCCAAAAATATAGTTTTTAGAATTTTTGTCTGTTTGTCTGTATGTATGTCCGAGATAAACTCAAAAAGTACTAAGTAGTTTTTTTTTAATTTTAACAATTTAAATATGCCAGACTGAAGGTTTAATCTCAATACATTCGTGTCAAGGTGCCAATTACCTATGGAGTATGGACGAGTTGTTCCCCGTGTTCCACTTCGTAGTGGTGCGCGCGCGCATCCTGCAGCTCGGCTCGGAACTCCACTTCGTCGAAGATTTCTTGGAGCCAGCGCTGCATCGAGGCGAATTGGGACTCATGTTTACCACGCTCAAAGTGAGTATAACATTGAGTTTTGTTTTGTTAAAAGGACTTTCGTGGCTTTGTTTTAGACTGCCTTCTCAATTTTGATTCGGCAATCCAATAAAATGTTTACATTTGTTCTTGAGTTATGGCGTCGGATGGGCCATGTTGTTGGGAACCCATAAGTATATATCTATATTTCATTTTTAAGAGATGGTACTCAATCAGTTCCACTATGAATCATGTATCGAGTCGTATGGTTACATCACTACAAATGTCAAAACGGGCCTATTATTTTGTGATGACTGTAGTTCTTGTTCTGAGTAACAAATGTACTTAATTGACGCGAAATTCTCTTTTACAGGCCTGTTACTTTCAAATACTGCAAGAAAAGATGTCTATTAACTAAACGAGATGGCAACGACGAAACGGAAAGATTAAACACACTGATCTCACAGCACTTGCGTCATAATATAATATTTTATATTTAAACATACCTAATATAATTGGTAGCTTTCGCAATAATTTGCTAAGTCCAATAACGCTAGTTGTTCAATTGTAGTTAAGAAAGTAATTTTGCTGTCGTAGTAACTTAATGTTGTTTAGTACATAATTCATTGAGGAGCCGATAAAATTCTTGCTTGTAAGGTACTTCCATATAGCTCATACATGTATTTATTCACACAAAATCACAAAACTAAACCGGTTGTGATCTAACCTATCCTACTTAAAAAGTTGACAGTTTAACAGAAGATTAAATTATAGAAGTGAATCAAAATGGATTAATAGTAGGGAATGTAAATTCGTGATCGTTTATTATTTCCAATGGATTGATATGATATTTGGTTTGTTATATCCAGGATATATTCGATAGTACTAAGTATATAAATGCTGTGTGGGAGTACCTGTTTATTAGTACTGTGTATTCCTCGTCTTTTCCGTCCCTGTGGGATGTTGCAAGTTTGTAAGACGACTATCTATAAAACATGATGGCATAGTGCAGTCGTATTGATCACCTAATTTGCAGATTTATGGCAGAACTACACTTATCTGTCGTATTGTGTTGTGACGCGTCAGAGAAGTATTGGTTTAATACAATTAAAATGGTTAGAATTATATTAAAGTCAGTCCATTTTAATAGGAAACATTTGACGTCTGCCAGTTTTATCTTCATAGTGAAGTGACCTGCTTAAAAACATCGATTAAAGTGAATGAATCGATACGGACTTAAAACTTAAGTGAATTTTAATAATTCATCAATCGAATCCCTGTCTCCTTATTTTTTCTTTTGGAAATTTAAGGAGCATAATAAGACAAGTACATAATTTAACAAACAAATGCATTTATTCTGTTTAACTATCAAAACTGTTAATAGTATTATTATCTCCATCACTGCTGTCAGCACTAAGAGATATTATTAATTCATTTTTAAATAAATTGTACCTAACTAAAATATCAATAAATATAATTATGTTTTAATTTAATCACAACGTGGCTATTAATTTATGGTGATATTTCTTCACAAGAAATCATTGCTTTCGATACTTAGAGTAACATCCCTAGTGTTTAAAAAGAGAAAAGGTTAACTGACGCAACATTGAAACGACGTTCAGTTCTTTAGATCAGAAATTGTTTATTATGTTTAGAATGGTTTATTAGTGAAAGCAAATCGTAAAATTACTCGTATCGGTCATTATTATGTAATTGTAATTGAAAAAAGTTAAGCAATTGTGCAGTTCTTATTTTATGCCCGCCGTTACAAGGTTACGTTGTTGAATTTTGATGAATTGTCAAATATTACCTATTGGAATGGCCTGACTATAGTGTGTTGACACCGTACTCACTCTAACCGCAAAAAAATTGCGAAACAGATAGCTCTCTGACGCATCACGATCACGCCAGCATTTATTCACTACTCTTTACTTTTAAAACCGATAGTAAACTCCGTCGTGTCGTGTTCTCCTCTACAGCATTATCACTATGTAACTTAGAGTAGGATAGACAATGAGGGTTTTCTGGAATGACCGGCGCCAGGTGGCAGCACAGTCGAAAGTTCTACTCATCTGTCAAATCGCGTATGTCATAGTCCCATAGACTATTATAGAAAGATTCTCAGTGATTGATCTAGTCTTGAGCATAGTTAGAAAGTGATATCGCTATATATAGCACATAGCAACATCCTTTTCTAACTGTACTCAAGTAAAGATCAACACTTAGTTGTCATCTGTAATACGGACCTTTAGATTCATTTAAACGCGATCGTTTGAATAATTCGCGTCAAAATCTTCTTACAACAGACCTCACGCCACAGTGGCGCCAAGTGGTGACGCGAATTATCTTAAACACCCTCAGGACAACAGTGAAGAAATTATGATCGAGACTAAAATGGTACCGCAGACTGCTTAACATAAGCAATAAACTGTAAAATTTAAGCCTATTTACTGCATCAGTGGCCCTTGGTGTTGTTGAAGTGAAAAATGAGAAATTAATATTCTGATTTGCTCAACCTATCTTATTGCAGGGCCGTAGCTAGAGTTGAATTCAAGATATGGTGGGTATAAGCGTATTTTAGATCTGGCGCACATAAACGTATTTTAGATCTGGCGCCCTACCTAAGATTTGACCCCCCCTCCCCCTAGAATTAGTAAATCGAATAAAAAATGGGTCAGTTATTAATGTCTGGCTTCCGGTGGCAGCCCAGTTTTAAGAGAATTGTCCCTTAATGCCCCCACTGGCTACAGCCCTGTCTTACTGCTGATATGCAAAGACAAAATATTTCCCCAAAACAGCACGCGTAAATGCCATACTTCTTGGAAGATAACATGGGAGGGCGCCTGTTCTCATGAGTTTTAATTAAAGATTGTGGAGATGCTAACAAGCTACCATTACTCTTTTTAAAATTTCCTTTTGTTTTGGAGTATTTTATAATACATATTTTATTGTGAATTTTTGACAACAGAGGTAGCTGCTGTCGCATGATGGTCTTTTGGTTACGCATGATCTTATTTTATTTAAGTACCTATCAGTTAAATTAACGTTCCCTCGTGTCTGTAAATGAAATTTGGTGAGATTTTGCTCCCCACTCACCACTTCCATGTTAAGAACTCACGTGAAAAACCCTAACAGATACTGACTACAGGTTCAACACTCGTAATTGAGTCAATTTTTAATGCAATTTATTTAAAATTACTGTTTCCTATATATTTAGAAACGTGTCTTTTGCGTGATATATATTGATAATATAAAATTTTATTAGCTTGTTCATTGGGCTTTGTATTTTAAAACTTGTAATGTATTATTCAATTATGCCCCAATATTGTATATTGGAAAATATTTTTTATAATACTCATAGATATAGATGTTTAATTCCATGTTATGAAATTAGGTTTAGAAAAAGAATTATTCGTTAATTTTATTTAATTATACAGAAAGGCTGTGTTTTAAAAAAAAATATTTTGTTCCAAGTAGCCTTTTTATGATGTGATTTTAAAGTGCCAATATTGTCTTGTTTGGCTGGACGACATGTATTTATTAATTGAACAAATCCCTTATCATATACGATTTATTTCTTTAATGAGGCTCGAATCAAAAATCTGAGCAACATGAAAAAAACACAGTGGATTGAATAAAATTACCTGTATTATTTAATTTGGAAAGATCGTCAAACACGAGAATGACTAAACAGCAAATATAGTTGAAGCATGTAGAAGCCGAAGTAGGCTAAGACTAACCTATCACAATGAAATTGTTCTCATTGGCGCTGGTGGGCGTGAATGAAAAGAGCTATGAATGCATGAAGCGAATGATGTTTGTAAGCCGCGCTTTTTGGTGCTCTGCTGTCTCTAGTTTTTTTCTGATTGGCACGCGTTAATGTGTGTGTAATCAATTTAATTTTGTTATTTTATTTTTATATTCAGATTATTTATTTTTTTACCAAAGAGAACAAATGAGATATTTTTTAATTTATAGACGTCACAGGCTTTCAAGATTATAAATAAGTTTTCCGACTAACTTAGCCAAGCATTGCGGTTTCTTTATTAGAAATACTAATTCAAGTTGAAACGTTTCTAAGTACGCGTAAGTATGCTATTTTTGTATAAGGGCTATATTTTATGTTATTTTTTTATTTCTGAACTGTACTAATTATAATCTAAGATTGTTGATTACAAGCATGTTAATGTTTATTGAAAATTTGGTATTTCTGCCTATATTGGTATGTATTGTTTCTCTGCCCATAGGAGGCTAGAGGGATCTAAAAAAATATTATCTATTTAATCAAATGTCACTTCATGTTTATGCAATTACGCTATGACGTAAACAAAACAATGTATTAATTTAATGCTATTAGTACATACTACTGTTGCTGGTTTTTTTTCTTTTTGTGTGGAACAAACAAACCCAAAGGTCATTAGTACAAATCGAAAATTTGTAATTTACTATAGTTAAGAAACTTACCGGATAAGACTACCATTGAAACCACCATTATACTATTTATTTTGTAACGATAAATATGAATACGTATGAATGAGTTGTCTGTTGTAACTACTCACCATATCAAAGTTTTAAGTACTTATAGTATTAATTGTAAAGTTGGAAATATATTTAGCGTACTTATCATGTTATAGTGTATTATGAAAGTGCGAGTTTGAATCTTATTGAAACATTTAAACTTTAATAAAGTTCTCAGAAAAGATATTTGTTTATTTTTACTCACATAATCCAGACCAACATGAGGCACTTAATGACAACTTTATTACTTACTAAAAAGATTTTTTTTACATTAATCAAAACAATCCAATATTTATTTTGCACCTTAATATGTTCACGTAGTCTAAAATGAATATACAAAAAACTTAAAAACTGCATCTTAAATTTCTGAAAGTCTTAATTGAATGTAATATAAGTAGTACACAAATAATACAACACAAATATTTATTAAGGCTATTTATTTCATTCCTATAAAATAACATACCAAAGGTCTCTTTTGTACAACATCATATCAAAAATTTACACCATTATATAAATTTCGTCTCAGGTAAATGTTACCTAGCTACTCTCGTGATTTTTCCTTATGTTTCATGGCTATTACACATAAATATATTAATTATAGTCCTCTCACTTTTGCCTAGTCTCTGGATAGGTACAAAATGTTCATAATACCGTCCTGTCTGTAACATAATGCTGTACAATATATCTACAATAATCAAGAGTTCTAATTTATTGTTACAATTCATTGTTCGGTGAAATTGAATCGCAAAGCCTTATAGAAAATAAGAATACATTGGCAGGTCAAATTAATTATTGCACACATGTATTTAAGAATTTTAAAACAAGCTGGATAACATTTGGAAATTCATCATCTCATAACGTATAAAAAACTAGCGTTATGCCCTAGAATAGAGGCACTGTCATGTACAAACTTTATTTACATTGTTTCAATAAAAAAGCATAGAGAATCGAATCATAGTGCTCGGCTTAATATTCTAAAGCCAATCTTTTTTGATTTTGGGATTTTTTAATTACGTAGGTATAATGCAGCTATTGTGTATTATTAATGCACAATCATTCGAGAGTATTTTTCTTCTTTAACTTTTTCTTATTTACAGGCAAGAATTTTACGTACACTTTAAGTAGCGTCGAAATTAAAGATATGTAGTACAGCATAGGCACAACCTTAATTTTATAGGTTAATATTTGACTAAACAAATATTTGTTCGGAACCTTTCTATTGTATTTTGTACTTTGTTTTCAAGCAATTAAAGAATAAGCACAGGAGACTAATTAGAAAGAAGGAAAAACAATTACTGACAAACTGGACGCACTTGTGTAAGACGGGACCCACCCACAAATATAATGAAATTTATCGAGGAATCATATTAAAGTTATTTTCGCCTTTTTTATGTAATTAATAAGTTAAAGCCGTCCAAGTATTGAGTCAAAAACGAGTTGTTTTCTCCGACGCCAAATTTATGTGTTTATTTATAATGTTGACTCCATCTTACATACGTTCATACGGGTAGCCACAGTTCAAGTTATCCAAATTTCAAAATTCCTCAACTGACATAGAGCTTTATCTTGATTGAGATAAAATATTAATCAGCTGAGAAAATTTGATACCTTTGCAACTTTATGTGTTACTGGCTGTACGTTCAATAGTTATTTAACAAAGACATAAGCTATTGTTGACCAATAATACAAATTCAAGTCTCAATAATTTTATCTGTTATTGTGGCATCGCAATATTATTGAATTAGTTATGCAAACGATTTAACTATGTTATCAAGTTTCCTTAGTGCTGTAAAAGAATTCTCCACTTCTTGGACGTAAATTGCTTGTACTTACTCCCAACAGTATACAGAATTTTCTCCAGTCATTGGTATATAGCTCAAGCAATTGCCTTGAAGGGGTAAATCGCCAACTTCTATGACTCTACTATTAATATTAAATCAATCAAGAAGCACCACATAATAAATCATTTTTGTTACACATAAAATCACATCCAAAAGAATAATTTCAATATTATTGCATTTAAAATCAGTGTCTGATCTCATTCAATCTTTACACATACGTTACACCAATGTTAAATTACGATACAAAAATATTTTGCAAATCAATGATACAGGTCAACTAATACCCAAATCTCTCTATTTTAATGTTAGACATAAAATAAAATTTATTACATTTCATTAATATAGTACGATATTAATAGCAAATATCAACCAAACTTTATTGCATGCATTTTAATAAAAAAATAACAATTATTAATTTCCTTAATAACACTGTTGGACGATTTATAGTCAAACTACATTTAAAGTAGATAAAACTCTAAGTCACATGGGGAGAAGTCCTAGTAAGCTTAAATTTAAAATTGTTTAAAAAACACGTCATCTAAACAACAGAATGCTTACAACTAGAGAAATCAACGTATATATTACTATAACATCCTAAGGCTACGTGTTAATGCTTACAAATAAATGCTGTCTACACTGGTCTATCGGTGAACTGAGGGAGCCGGTGCCTAGTAATCCACAGCAAAATGAAATTGACAAAAGAGGGTCTACATTCTGTCTACTCAGAAAACTGTTCTTTGTAGAGTACTAACACAGAGTTCGCCCACTACAGACCGCACACAAGAACACCCGCTTGCATAGAGGTATAAGAATAGAGTAGGGGAGATATAGACTCTACTACAAGTGGAAGTGTCCCTCTAATAGAAAGAGAAAGAAGATGAGAGAGCTTTCTCTCTCTAATCGCGCATGCGCATTGGCAACCGTAAGCATCTTACTTTTTCGATGTGATGCTTGGACCAAATATTGGACAAATGACTGCGCATGCGTCACAAGAAAGAGAGAGATAGCTAGCGGTCTCTCATCTTCTTTCTCTTTCTACTAGACGGACACTTTTAGAGCCACCTTCCCCACTCTATTCTTATACCTCTATGCCCACTTGTGCCAAGCCTATAGGTAGACCGCTCAGTAAAGCGGTTTACATATAGGTAGTATTAGACATATGCGTGTGACACGCCTCCAAACGACTGATGGCGATAACTTGTTTCACCAAATATGTCATCCGACCGTGACGTCATACTGACGTGTCCAATCAAGACGCGGCTTAACCTCCCCGTACGCCGCCAACTTTTGTGATTTCGATTCCAAATAAAATTGAGTAGTGCGGACTCTAGTGGGGGTGTTTTGTGAGCATAATCAACACAAAGATGATAGATTTGAATATGGATGCAAAGACTTTATGTTTATTAAAATCTGCGTCTACTCTAAAATGAATGTTTAGAAACAATCGATCTAATAGGTACTTACTATAAAAACGCTTTTTTTCAATTTTATTTTGTATTTGGCTGATTAATTATATCAAGGAAAGGCACGCACTATTCTCAAGAATAGTTTTAGAGTAGCCCTCTTCTCGGTTCAGCATGGATAAAAATAAAAGTTGACATTACCTTTATCATTACTACCACATCCATATAGCTTATGGATATGCTGTACTCGGTATAACTAAAAAAAATACGAATATTGACATAAGTAACTGATATGTCTCACGCGCGTTTGAAGAATATAAGAAACAGTAGCACAAACACTGTTTATAAACCAAACGTCCTGAACTTTCTGATGAATAAATACTGTAAATCCATAAAACTTACTTACTTCAATTCAATACTTCATTAGTTAAACTTTGAAACAAAGCAATAATAAAATAACTATGGACTGGACACATCAGCATTTAAAAAATCCTATAAAAAAGTAAATATATCACTGGGGTGGGAAGTCAACACATAATAAATAAGTAGTTAAATAAGCTGCGAAAAACTACAGTTGGTGGATTACTACCGTATAATTATTCGCAAGAACTTGGGATAAGTTTAGAAAATTTTGCGTATATGACCTGAAAATTATGTTTGTCCAAAAGAAAATGTATGAATTTACTTCTTAAACTGAAAGTATAATTTCGTTACTGGTTCTTAACTAAAGGGTATTTTACAAATTTTTGAATACGGCTTATATTTAAAGATTGGGACAAACGATTTAACAGAAAACTAAATTAATTTGTCTTTTTTTCTCCATTACACCAATTAAAGTTAAATTTATTTTTAATCTTTTTGAATTTGCCGCGAAAACGCTCGGTTCGATGACGTCGACTATGCGACGTCAACTTTGTGTAAAGAATTATATCACCTACGTAGTCTGTGGACGATCTGTGATTTTAATGGAGAAAAAAAAGTCATTAATTAATTTATTTTTATTTTTCTGTTAAATCGTTTGTCCCAATCTTTAAATATAAGCAGTTTTAAAAAAATTGGATTATTGCGCACTCTGCTCATTTAGGGCCGATAGCATACTTGTAGTAGGATCCAGTGCGTTATATGCTATTTATTACTTATCGAATAAGGATGAACTTTTCAACGTATACTGAGAATTATATAAGCGGACAAGTTTACGCAAACTTTATGCAGTAAGTAATAAGGAACATGTTGCAAATTACTGACACGACCTGTCAGGATCGGAGGATCTTTGGCTCACTTTAAAATGTTTAAATGAAAACCCATTTTAACAGTGTTTTATTCAAAGTTGAGCAAAACATTATAAATCTGACCGTAATATCTGTGATTTAGTATGCAAAATGACCCTTATTACTTACTGCATAAGTTTGAGCGTCTCCGCTTATATAAATCACAATATACGTTGATAAGTTCATCCTTTCGATATATTCAGAATCGCATTCTTTCGTTGGCCGCACTGTCGAGACATTCCGGACCCTGTGTTTCCGATGTTGGCATACATAGCGGACACATACTATACAATTGCTGCATATGAATTAGCACCGTCTAAGTACACCAACAGCGGAATCATAAGTTTAAAAACCAGTTTAACATGCTTCACTATACAAATAGATCTTACGCCTAATGTTACTTGGATTTGTGAATAAGGATACTTGGACGGTGAAAAACGTCAATTGATAACGTCCAGAAACGAACTAGCGTTCGCATATATCTTCTAAAACGTACGTATTGGGGTATATAAACACCTGAGTAGCCACTAAATAACAAACTAACGTGTACAATTACAAAATAATAATGAAACCAAGCCGATTATGTGTGAATAAGAATGGTGTTCTTATGTCTCGTTAAAAAGTAATAAAAATCTTATTTACACGTCTAATACCAAAACAATAATAGATTTTGATATTGCTTAAAAATATTATATATAATTAGACAAAAAAAACAATAAAATCATTTTGCTAAGCAATATTAAAACAATAAATAAATGGCATCGCCTCAGCCAAGGTGAAATTTATTCCAGATTACTCTCTCGCCACATAAATGGATTGTAGTATTATTAGTACATTACAAAAGTTATCGATCAATTAGTAGCCAATGTGCGTTTTTAAGTGCTATTAAGTTCCTTATAGTTGACATTTCGAGTTGCTTAATCAACTAATACTGAAAGCACCATTTCATATTTACCTAATTCCTCAATTCTTACTTAATTCATTATTAGGTTTATAATTTTGAATTTTGTATGCGATTCGGATGGGACGACCACGTGAAGGCGATCTTTTTCATTGAATAAGGACAACAAATCGATTGTTACAAAATCAAATTCAACCTTATTACTAACACGCTTAGGTTTAAATGTAAAGGTTCTTATCGCCTTTACTGCAGTCGTCTCTGTAGGACTTTAACATCCAAAAGTTGTATAACAAAATAATTTAGTTACGTCACCTAGAATTACAATCCCGTGTATAATGGCATCAAATACTACAAAACTAGTTTAATACTGAGATGATAATCATAAGTTTATATGCAGGAGCTTCAATATTATTGGAAAGAAGAAAGCTGATATTTTTTAATTGTTGGCGTCTTTTGATGACTTATCTTAAAAATATTATTAAGTATGTTTGGAGCTTATTTATTACAAGTAGTCAGAAAAATATAAGCAAATTTTGCAAAGCTAAGTATAGTATTACTCCAATTTTCTTCTCTTTGATAGTATTTCAAGAAACAATAACATATAATTTTAACAATTAAAAACTTAATTATTAAAAATAGAAAGTTATATTTTTAATTGCAATTACTCTGTACCTTTAAAATAAGGATGTTATTAGATTAAAATACCAGCGTTCTCCCACTCAATAATCATTCAATATAGTAGATGCCGTGTTGTTCAGATACTACATTCACCCGTGTTCTTCTGTTATAATTAAACGTATTTTAATTTATTACATCAATAAAATCATATGACACTTACGCGATTGACTTGTTATTGTCACCAATATGCAATGAATAAAGGGAAACTGGTGTAGTTACACTATCTCTGTACACTAGACTTTGTACAAGTTATAATCTAATGTGTACAAACGTCACAACGGTCGCACGATTTCAAAATATACGGCTCTGACTTATTGCAAATTATGTCCAATGCTAATTGTGATACCATTATGGTAACAAATATAACAAATATAAAAACTCATTAATTACATCATAATTAGAATGCTACGATAAAAATATAGCCAATATATTAAACTATAACACACGTAAATATACGTGAAGAGCGTAAACACAATAGCTCCTACTACCGTTTCAGTCTTCGATACACATTGCGCACATTCTGAAATAGTGCGACCTGCCGCCGTATAACGATAGTGCGCGATTCTAAAAACCTTACAACTATTTTCCCATCATGATTTCACATTTTATTAGACACATTTTATGTACAACAATTATTCACATTAGTCAAATTTATAAGCGATTCAAGCGTCGCTCATCGTTTTTCGTTATAAAAAAGAGAAGTATATACATATTCCACTAGAGCTGGACGCTCCTACTTTAAAATACCAGTCGAATTTTAGAATTCGTGATCGTTCTATAAGTCTATCGATCGAATTAAACTCGATTAGCGTTTTACACTGGGACACGGTGGAGGCAAACCAACTCTTTGGGAGTAATCACATTGATGCGCTATCTTCAACCTTTTTCATTCGTTTTGTCTGTTTATGTTTCATAGAAGCGTACAATGCACAATTTCTCTACCTAACGTGTAGGTACCACGCTTCTTCGCCAGATAAAAAGCAACCGAGATATCTTCGAAAGATGAGCGATAATGTGACTACTCCCTCACAAACTTGCGGCAACTCATCAACCGGAAACACTAACAGACGACATTCGTCGCCTATGTAACCCTAACTTATTCATATTTGTTCCCAAGCATGATATAAAGTGACATATCGTACACATATTTTATAGTTTGTCAAATTTTGGCAAGCGCTCTCACATTTATACTTTGTTAATAATAAATTAGCTCCTGTTGTTTACTGAATTATTAGCATTTTAACATATTCAACAATAATTGCAAACACCTCCAAGATTTATTCACTCTCACTCCTGCCACTGGCACCAAGAAACGGACCATAAAGAACAAAAGAGCGCTCAGCAAAACGTGGACAAACTACAAAAGCGTACGTTACCGAAACGAACACACTCCATCGCGTCGTAAGCGGACACCGCAAGCGAACAACAAGGGGGGAGGGGGAAGCGATAACAAATCGAATCGAATCGAAAGGAGAGAAAAACATCACATTATCATACGGACCTCTTACGCACTAACAAATACCTAAACCGTACAATGGGTATGAGTAGAGTCCTCATGATTGAGAAGGCAAAATTGGCACTTAATATGACGAAGTTCGGTCCGTTGCCGTGGGGCGTTCGCGGCCGAGGGGCGTGCGGCTATGTGGGCGAGCCCTGCGCGGGATGGTACGGGTGATTGGAGTTGCGCAACACTGTGTACACACTGTCCACCTTGCTGAGTTTCTCGAAGAAAGGTATCAGGTCCAATAGTTCAGAGTCTGTCATGTCGTCGAACCACGACGCGACGGGTACCTGGGGATCAACAGTCTTCGTGCAGTTATTGTTTTTTGGTGCTTGATTTTCTTAACACGATTTCAAGGTGCAATTAGACTTTGTCGTCAGCCCGTTTTCGGGTTCACGAAAGACATTATTCGATTTTGGGCACCCGTTGCAATAATTACATTGTTTTACTCACGTGCGGTTGAACGTGAGTAAAATAATCTATTGCAACGGGTAACGTACCCAGTGATGCCAGATTGGGGGGATTCTACCCATATTTCGGGGAAATCATTTTTGGAGGGCAAATATCTAGTACTACTGCTTGAAAAGAAAACAGCGTCGGGTAACCAAATAAAAGCCGTACGAATACGAGTGTACCTACTCGACTCCGTTAATTTGCACTTACTCGTTTGTCCGAATTCCATAGACAATTGTATACGAGCTAACGATCAAGTGTAATTGCCTCTTGAGATGAAAACTTACAAAATTTGCCTAAACATGGTTTTTAACCGTGTCAATTTTTTTGCAGTACTTACAATCCTAGATGAATATATTTCGATTGGGTTCGAGTTATATTAGTATTGCTTTTTTATGACATTAATATGTTTGCGGAAACGAGTATACGGTACTCCTGGTGGTTAGCATAGCTAATAGACTGTTAATTAGGACTCCATTTCAATATATCCTAAGGTAATATCTAAAAAATTGAAGCAAGAAATAATGGAATATAATAAAAAATACAAATTTCCACACGAGTAAGAAATGTTACTGTAATCGGTGTACACAATACCTTCCTCAAACTCTTATTTACTTGTAACACTTAATAATTGGCAATTAACACATTCAGTCAAGAATATGTAAAATATCTGTGTTATACAATCTCCTTTTTTTACTGCATTTATATCGGACTTGAAATCAGTAGGATTTTGTATTGGTATCAATTATTTTTTAATTTAGGTTGTTAAAAGAAAATCTACACTGCCAATGTACCTAACATAAGTAGATAAAACCTTAAGAGGCAATTGAATTGATAAGTGTACTGGTCAATCGCGGACACAAGGACAGAAAAAAGCATCATTTTCATAATCATAAAAAAACAATTATAAAACCACTAGTATCTTGTTATTAGTACAACAAGCTGATTGTATTTGGACCTAAAACATACTTTTTAACTGCACCGATCAACAAATTACCCTAGATACACCACGTGCGTTCAAAATGAGCCCCAATCAAGAAGTGCTTGAACTCCACTCGAGGTTCACGTCACGCGCGGAACATTGAAAAATCAAGATGCCGCAAAGCTCCGTGAAAAAATGCGAAAAATAATCAAGTAAGTAAAGTGTCGTTTTTTCGACACGTATCGATTCATTTTTTTTTTATTTAACGCATTTGAAGCAAATTTTGTTCTAATACTTAATATTTATTTATTTAATAATCACTTACATCTATCATTACATTACTATATAAACTGATTTAATAGAAAGTATTTGTGATATTCAAATGCATGGTCGGTTATACAGCCGTCTCATTTCCTCGCGCCCGTACCGGCTATATTGCTAACAGCGCATTCAGAATTGCGCGTAGAGTCAAAGAAATAAAGTCTTAATTCTTCTGCATATAGCAGTAAGTCGCAAAATGTTACGAGCTTGCATTTTGAACTGTCGTAACTCTTTGACGCATGCGTTTTAATTAAGATCTTACACAGTATGCATTAAACGTGACTTTCAATGTTGAAAGAATGCCTTACATTATTTATCATTTTACGGAGCTCCTTGGATCGTCCAATGTACGTTTTGGACAGGTTTCGGCCACGATTTTGTTCGTGTTGTTGTATCTAGGGTATTTAATATCGTTGGCACTGATAAACGAGTTTTGGTTGGATGAAAACTACGATTCTGCGTCTTATATAATAATTAGCATTTGCGTTAAATGGATTTGAGAAGCGCCATCTGGTGGGGTAGGTATAGGTGGCGACAAACTTCTTGATCAAACCACAGACAAATACACATTCACAGTAAATCTCTGTATGTAACATTCCTACTGCGTAGCCTTCGCTGTCTATGCTCGAAGGGGTAAAAAAGGCAAGGAATGAAAACCTGTACACGCTCTCCCCACTACTGGAGCAATGTCATTCATACGAATGAGATTGCCGATTCATTCATAGGAATGACATAAATAGGCTGATAATGATCATTAGCACCCACTAATCCCCATCAGGCGATTAGTGGGTCCATTTTGTCCATTCTCCCTACTCCAGCGGTGTGGTCATTAATAGGTGATTGTGATGGAACAAAACACTCACAGCGTTATCTGGGTGGAATATGTAGGAAGCAGGCGAGTTGTCGACGATTACTACGCGCCGCAAGTCTCGCCCCAGGCTGTTTAGATCCTTCACGTAGTTGCCGCGATGGAACACGCAGCTGTCGCGGAACAACCGCGCCCGGAATACGCCCCATCTGCAGATGAAACGTTCTTTTGTGGGATTTTGTCGAAATAAAATGGAAGGCAAACAGAGACTGCTCGATGGTAATAGATAAACGCTTGCTATTTGCTTCATTGCTCATCATCATTAGTTCATAAAAGGGGAGCCTAAAATTTTTTTACTGATGATTGTAGTTAACTTCAAATCGTTCTTGTGACCTTGTATTAAAAGTATGACATGTCACCTGGCTTAATTTAGTTGTTAGTTCCAATATGCTCATTTCATCGTAATATCTCATTAATGTAGGTAGCAAAACAACTTCAAAACTACAAGCGTAGATTTGGCGCCATACTCTTGGTCGTATATTTAAACCGAATAATATATTCGGCCAGGAAGCTCACAGAATATTCGATAATCGGCATTTGGCTAAATATAGTATTCAATACAAGTATAATTGATGACTTTGTTTGTTTACTTCAGTCAGGACATACCTGGTGCACCGCACCGACTATCTCCACCGGCCGGCATCACAAAGTGCGTGTCGTTGACGTTCTGCAACTATGTATAATTCGCGGCACGAAACTCTAGCGCGGACCGTTATTGCGCAGAAGTAAAAATTAAGATGTCTTGGGGGGAAACGAGATGCGCGGGTAGACGTGCATTGCGCTGATTGGCTCTCCAGTCGTTCCCATGCGCAGCTATCCCCCGCGTTTTGTTCAGCGATAGAGTTACGTGCTGCGACCCGTACGCGGGGTACATTACCTGTCCAGTAGGTCGGCCACGGGGTCCGCGTATTTGGCAAGCGAGGCGGTGAACAGCACGCACTCGTACAGCTCGCCGCAACGCCGCAGGAACTCATCCACGTGCGGTCGCTTCAGCACGTACACCTGGTGCACTGCGCCGTCTATTTCGACAGGCACCACGAAGTCCGCGTTGTTGATAGGCTGCAATAAAGAAAACCACTTGTATTTCAATTTAGCTAGACAAAATTCCAGTTGTATTTCGTCCGGATAACGAAAGTAGAAGGCTTATTTTATTAAGGTCTTCCCTATGGTAGATCCATACTGAGAATGTACCCTGGTCTACCCACACGCAGTAGATTAGAGGGTGTTAATGATCACATATGTAACCGGGACCAACTGCTTAGAGTACTTTCCGAAGCATTACGATTGATTACAATACAATTATTTAAAAATTAATATTCATATCTGAATGTATCTAATGAACAAGCTTAACAACGCATGATGTTGTGCTGCTAAACTTAATGTTCCATAGAATATTTATTTGAACCAACAAATGTGTTTAAAGGCTATGATTATTATTTACGACTTAACATTCTGTGCTTCAAATATTCATCCACATTATGGTGATTAGAAAATTCTAGTAAACAAATACATATGCCGCATAGTTAAGTCAGATAATCTATAGAAAATATTATCACTAAAATTCATCGATTGAATCCAATCACATGTCACCTACACAAGCCAAGGTCGGTGCCTTGACACGGGTGGGCGTACCACACCAAAATTGATCATTTATACAATAGTCACAAAATAGGTAGTACAGAAGGTAATCTTACGTATGTACTTTTTATACCTACGCTCGGCTCGCGCTAGGATTGTCAACTTTGACTTGTGCACAAAAAAACGTGGTAGTGGCACTCGTACGTATTTTGTTGTTTGATTTATTATTTTGTTGGTCATGAATCAGGAAGAATGGAAATATAAACCATAATTGATAACGAATGTATTTCAATTTTAATGTTATTGTTATATTAGGTACTTACAAATAAATAAAAAAACAAGCGAGCCTTACAGTAGTCGCGTATGATGTGTTACATTTGAAACCTCACCTTACAATAGTAAAAAAAGAAATAAAACCTACTACAAAAAAAATAAGCCATTTGAACATTATGTTCTAAAATCAAATAGGGCGCGCTTCCCAAACTTCCTGTTACACACTTCCGTCCCACTTCACGTTATCACTCCCACATATTGCACGAAAGCGAGAGGAAAGATGTTACACATCAAAAAACGATAATAATGAGCCTTTAATGTTGAATTCAAACAAACAACCGTCCTCTGAACAGTTATTATAACTTTTTTTTGGATGGAACTTGCGATCGCGCTGTTCCCGATCGGGCCGTGATATCGTGTCCGTGAGCGGTGTCTATGTGTACGTTGCTCGAGCGCACTTTTTATGTAGATTACCTTCTGTACTATCTATTTTGTGCAATAGCGTTCTACCGACTAGCACACAAGCCCCGCTGCACGACAGGCGATATTTGTATGCAGTAAACGTAACAGCAATTAACGTTATTTTATAACTGGCGACCTCTATTAAAGGTACCTATATCGCGACCAGGGACGCCTTTGTTTTATACATTAGTCACGCCAATAAAATAACGTCATAGAAGTCCTTCGCTCTGGCATTCTTTAGAGTATTACTAGCTGACCCAGCGAACTTCGTACCGCCATAAAAATAGGGGCAGGTAGTAGAAGAGAAAATTTAGGCTTGTATGTATTTTTTAATAACACATTGTAAAAAAAATTGTCAAAAAAAATTTTAGGGGTGTATGTAACTTAGTGTTCTATCAATTTCCTGGGATAACATTCCTCCTAACCCATGTGAGAACAGTACGTTACAATACCCAATAGTTTGAATTTAGGCGCGAAGGCGCATTGTAGGTTTTAGAACACTATGCTATAGGTAGACAACTATTATCACTTAAGGATATGAAAAATAGATAGTAGCTGATTCTTAGACCTACGGAATATGCATATAAAATTTCATAAATATCGGTCAGGCCAGGCCATTTCGGAGGAGTATGGTAACTAACATTGTGACACGAGAATTTTATACATAAGATTATGCAAGTAAAAAGTTCTGTAATGTAGTGCATAAAAAAGTTAACCTCAACTGATTTAAACGACGTGAAGGAAATATAAACCAAAGTGGAAAAACTATGAGTAATGTTTTAATGAATTCGATGCAAATGATATGTATGATTAATTGATTAGTTAACATTTTAAAGGGATCTTATATTAAAGAATTAACTTTTTTCGTATACTAGAAAAGATGCATTAGTTTTATAGAAAATGACAATTTTATTTTTCTTACTTTATACTGTACATAATTTCTCCAACTAGGTATCAATACTAGATATGGACGAGTACTCGTTTTATGCTACGTGTTTAAAGAATATTTTTTATAACTTGTATTCGGCAGAATAAGTCGTTTCACATGACGAGTGTACTCGATTAAAAAAACCGATATATTATGTACATATTTTAAGCGCTATAATGAATTAACGAAGTTTTTATTAAAATAATATTTTTTTAATTTTAAAACTGTAGTCATAGTGGATAAATAAACAATCGGTTTATAACAAATGTATTAGATGCTTCCAGGTGCACATAAAAACACTCAAGCTGAACGTGGAGTTTCTGGAAATATTATTTTATGTCCTGTCCGCCACTCATCTTTTGAAAAGAAACCTTCTAATTATACCTATAAGAAACCTTCTTTTACATCGAATGATATAGTAGCACGTCGCGGGCCTGTGTCAGTTTCGCGCCCCAAACTAAATTGAACCGAGTTATTCGGCCGAGTACTCGATTTATATCATTAATACTCGCTAAACCTTCCGTCGGCTCATCACTAATTAAAACTGAGACACATAAAATAATAAATAAATAAGTAAGTACAGCAAATATAGGACCCATTTCAATATATACAGGCTAAAGGTTTAAAATATGTCAAAAAAGATGTGACTTAAAAGAAAACGACAAACAATTTAAGTGTAAAACGATAAGGAAGTAACTAATAATTCTTCCTGTTTACAACAAAACTCAAAGAATAAGCGTGAAAGCCAGCAACAACATAAATCTATGTGCGTGCATGTCAGAGTTCAATCTACGCTAAAAATAAAGTTCCACCTTTATAAACTAGAACCCACGTAATTGAAGAAAGCGCATGTGATGTGACACGGCTCGCATGCCGTAACGTTTTGCTGGAAAAACTGTTTCTCAATTATTGCCTTTTAATAAATTATGAAAAAAAAAAACAATTTCATTAAAACAATCATCTTTACTTAACCTCCGTTAGAAATCAACATTTCTCATAGCTCCAGTCAGTAGAACACTTGAAAGAAAAACACAAAATACGGTAATCCCTAAGAATCAAATCTGCAACGTACAATTAAGAACAAGATGGTTTCAGGAATGAAGGTAAACTACAGGATGCTACACTCCGTTTCGATAATTCTGTACAACTAAGATAGGTTTATTAACCACCACAACACAGGATTTACTATTATAATATATGCAGCACAATCCTTCTTAGTCATAAATGACATAACACTCAAATGAGATTAAAATGAATCAACGAGTCTCTAAAGCCGTTATACATTGATTCCAAAATTTCTGCGCCGGCAAAGAGAGAATCCCAGAGAAACGATTCCGATTGTTTATTTTCTCGTTTGGTGTTTATGACTATTATGGGTGCAGACGCAATGTTAGCCAGGAAACTACGGCTAACCGCTATCATAACTTGTATCAGTTGTGGTATTTTTAGCGACCGGCTCGCGGAGCAGATATTGTGGCATTGGAAAGGTTTCAACATAGGGGAGACGCTCTTGCAAATTACTGCAATATGAAACTAAGCACTTAACACTTGAGTATGATATGTGTAACTACACATCAGAGAAATGCGATCATGCTCGTAAAACAAAAAAAATCGATCGGAGGGTTTATCAAATTTCTTGAACATGTCAATGATCATCAGGCTTTTATTTTTGTAAGAGTGAAAGGGAAAGCGAATTTCTATTACCCAATTATCTACGCTTTGATGAAATGAAACCAAATCTATTTTAGAAGCAGCTTCCAAATAAGATCTGTCAGATCAGTAGTATCAGTGTTTGTGGACATCAATTTTTTATACTGGTTTATTTTCTTGCTATCTTAAGCTATTGTTATCGCAAAAGAAAAAGTTACTGCAACAACTTTAATGAAGCTTAAAACAGCGTCTATTAGTGCCGTCGACAAAGTTCAATTTCACACTTTTATTACCGTCTCAGTACACTTTACAAGGTTAAATTCTTTTCTTATTTACGATTTAGAGAAATGAGATATCTTCATCTTTCTCTTTTCTTATGAGTTAATTTTAAAAAATGTTGACCAGACCCCATAGTATGAGCACCACATTTTACATTATATCACGTTTTTTATCGCGTCTAACTGTCAAACTCCATAGTAATTTGACAATTTTGCGTGATAAAAACGCGGTATAAATCATATCACGGTGCTCGTGCTAGTGAAATTAAATATTATAAGAAGCAATAATTAAAAGGGAGAAGTGGGATGACTTGGTTCCCTATATTTACAGTCTATTTCAATTAATATGCATAAATGTTTGGTTTTTAAGATTGAGTGAATTCTGGTAGGTGTTATATCTACCACCATAAGCCAATGTTAATTTAAATAATAACCCAATTAGGAGTTAACATAAAAACAGTAGCACGGGAGCAGAATTGTTATTGATATTTTGACTTCTCTCCTTGTATAGAATATCAACCCACAGCTTCTATGAAAAATGTCCGTAATGAATGAACAATGTTATCATTTAGTATATTTCTCGTGTAATGTAAACTGAGAAGCCCTTTGCCGAGTTTAAGCCGCTCTGTGGATGCACGCTCTAGTTCCCAAACTGAAAAGTTAAAAAGAACAAGTCTTCCAAACCGGAAACACGTTCGCATCCCGCGTCAAGTAAACTATATCAACAGAGAACCTAATTCATTACAATATGAAAAGCAGCTATATGCCAAATCCTTATTGGCTTGGTAAAGCTACAAAGATGACAACAACAGTACATAGATAAGACTCCGACTGCGATGACTTATTAATTTATTTTTGGTTAATTTTAATAGCATTTTATTTTGGTCCAG